GATAAGATCAAGATGCATATTTGAATTGGCTGTATTTATGTTCCAGATGCAAGATGATTATCTGACAGCAGAGGCAACATGATTTAATACATAAGGCCGAGGGCCAGGAATCGGGAAATCTGGGTTTTATTCTTGGCTTCATCACTTAGGCCGTGTATACATGAGTGGAGTATTTTGTAATTGCACTGTTATTGTTGACCCCAAACTGCTTCCTGCCCTGCCCTGCCACCAGAAATGTTTTACTACATTGTTATGATATCATTGCCTTTCTTCTTTTCCTTCTATTTCTCTTTCCTCATCTTCCCTATTTCTTAATAAATTACATTAAATTGGTATCATATGAGCAATACATAAATATATTTTATTTTTTAAAAAAACTTACAGAGAATATTGATTTTCCCTTAATCTTCACTCTTCTACTCTTGAGCACCTCTAATTCTCTTGTTCCTAATCTTGTTCTTTTTCCTATCTGCTTTTATTTCATTCATTTTCTGATTGTAGAGACTCACCCCATTTCTACACCACCCTCTTTTTCATACTTAAACCAGCTTGAATTTCAACATAAAATATTCCCACGATAAATTATTCCTCTAAAATACACTAAGGCAAGTGGAGAAACATGTGAAGTGTAATAGAGAACACAAAAAGCAAACTAGGAAACAGAATAGAAAACTGGAAGAGTACCAGGGATCTGTAGGATTGGATTCTCGGTGAACTGAAAACTGCTTTCAATGCATCCCATCCTATCAAGTAGGTAGTTAGCAAAATTTTCCTTTGAGAATTCTGTGACGCCCTCTCAAGGAAACTTGTGGTTTCTTTGAGAATCAGAGATCTTTGCATTTCTGGGTTGCTGTCATCCCTACTTTTAGCAAAGAGATGCACAGGTTGATTTCAGATCATAGGGAAACTCTTCTGCCTCATCTACCCTCACCAGGAGGAACAGGGCAGTAGGGAATGGAGAAGGTAAATCCACAATTAAAACTGCTAGAAGACTAGGGATACCTAGCCATCATCCACAGCATTGTTCCCCCTTAGAGAGAGCATCGCTGGGCCGGGTGCCATGGCTCACACCTGTAATCCCAGCATTTGGGAGGCTGAGGCGAGTATATCACCTGAGGTCAGGAGTTCAAGACAAGCCTGGGCAATATGACAAAAGCCTATCTCTAGTAAAAATATAAAAATTAGCTGGGTATGGTGGGTGCCTGTAATCCCAGCTACTCGGGAGGCTGAGGCAGGTAGAATTGCTTGAACCTGGGAGACAGAGGTTGCAGTGAGCCGAGATCACACTATTGCACTCTAGCCTGGGCAACAGAGCAAGACTCCATCTCTGAAAAAGAAAAGAAAATAAAGAAAAGAAAAGAAAAAAGTAAAGAAAAGAAAAGAAAGAAAGGGGGAAAGGAAGGAAGGAAGGAAAGAAGGAAAGAAGGAAGGAAGGAAAGAAGGAAGGAAGGAAGGAAGGAAGGAAGGAAGGAAGGAAGGGAGGGAGGGAGGAAGGAAGGGAGGAAGGAAGGGAGGAAAGAAAGAAAAAGAAAGAGAGAGATAGAGTTAGCACCTAGCAATTTTTACAGCAATAAAATATTGTTGGCAAAAATAGAGACCCATGTTTCCTTGACCTGAATACTGCCACAAAACTCAGGCAGTTTAGCAATTCTCAAATATGTGTATATATACATACACATACATTTGAAAACATTATATATATATTTTTTATCTTAAACAATGGAGCAGGCAGGTGCCTGAAAGCTTAAAATTACTGTTTTACCACATACCACATAGTTTAATAAGTCAAACTGCTTCCTATATTATATATATTCAGGGGCTTCCATATTTTTTCTTTTGTCTTTTCCTCTAATCTTTTTTTTTTTTTTTAAGAATGAGATGAAGTATCACAGGTATAATTAAGTCCTTTTGACATCATTCCCTGATCTCATTTCTTTCTCTTCCTATCTCTTTCCTATGGGGTAACCAGTAGTCCAAAGTTGTGTATCTTTCCTGTTCATGTTCTAAGTTTTAATTGCATCTGTGTGCATCCTGAACTAATATACAACATGGTTGAGTGTTTTAAAATTTATAAGCATTGATTTATTCCATATGTATCTTTTTAAATGTGCATTTTGTACTCAACATTGTTTTTGAATTTTTATCAAATATTTTTACCACTTCTTAATACTTACAATTGTATGTGCAAGTTCCTAATTCCCTTGTCATTCCTTCTATCTAATTGCAAATCCCCAAATGGGTAGACTCTGCTTGACCTTGTGGAATTGTTGAAGATGCAGTTCTCAACAGCATCACTAGATATTGTAAATATATTAAATAAATTTAATAAGTGGGATCCATAACCTGATAATAGCATTTATAATAACCTATAGGACTGGACCATCCTCTGACATTTAAATTTTGGAGTTTCCGTAGGTGACATTTTGAAGTTTTCTAATAGTTCATCTAGAATATATGATCATATAAAATTTGACATATATGATGACCAAGAAAAGGCCATAATATTTGAATTACACCACAGAAAAGATAGGTGTGTCTTATCATTTAAACAATATTCCAAACATATTCTTACCAATTAATTTATTAGAATGTTAAAAGCCCATATCCAGACTTGGCCCAATCAATGAACACATCCAGAAGTAAGACTAATGTCTCCAAATAAAAGTTCCCTCTTAAAAGAACCAGAGGTCTTTGGAGAAGTGGCTGATTCTGTGACAAGAAATATACAAGATGACCTGGGAACATTTTGTCCTATAGCTATCAAGTAAACTATCAAAAGACTTCTATGGTCATTTCAAAAGGACTCAAGAACCAAAATAAAGAATCTCCCACTGACCAGAAATAGGATAAGTAGCACATCAATTCAGATAAAAACTTCAATGGATTAAAACTAATCAAATACGTTTAAATCCATAGTCACCTTTAAAGAATGCAAGCCAACTCATAATTTTGCAAGTAGGTAAGCAAAGGGAAAGAATCAAGTATTTATCCCATCTTCCCCATATAGTTTATGCCAGTGAGTAACTGCCATGGTCTGAATTGTTGTGTCCCCCAGAATTTACAGGTTGAAATCCTAATTCCCAAAGTGATGGTATTAAGAGGTGAGGGCTTTGTGAGGTGATTATGTTAAGCAGCCTCTGCCCTCAAGAGTGTGGATTAGTGCCCTTGGAAAAGACCACAGAAAGACTGCTCTTCTTTTCTACTATGTGGACCCTCGCCAAACACTGAATTTGCCGACACTCTGATCGTGGACTTCCCATTCACCAGAAATATAAGAAATAAATTTCTTTTGTTTATAATCCACCCAGTAGATAGTATTTTGTTATAGCAGCCTAAACAGACTAAAACAGTAACAAAATAGGAAATGCAAGAAAATAGCTCTTTGAATAAGTGTTATAGCTAATAAAGAAGAGATGGTAGAATTATAATATTACTATTTTGCAATCTTTCATGAACTAATGGATTAACAATAGCTGCTAATATCCCACAAATAGAGATAACTCCTCATAGGGCTAGGTGCAGTGGCTCACGCCTGCAATCCCAACATTTTGGGAGGCCAAGGCGGGTGGATCATCTGAGGTCAGGAGTTCGAGACTAGCCTGGCCAACATGGTAAAATCCTGTCTCCACTAAAAACACAAAAAAATTAGTGGGGCATGGTTGTGTGCACCTGTAATCCCAGCTACTTGGGAGTCTGAGGCAGGAGAATTACTTCAATCCCAGAGGCAGAGGTTGCCGTGAGCCGAGATGGTGCCACTGCACTCCAGCTTGGAAAACAGAGAAAGACTGTCAAGAAAACCCCAAAAACTCCTGATAGAAATACAAATTACCACTTTGATGAAATAGCCTCCACAAACCAATCAAACTTAAATCCAAGAAAGCTCTAGATCCAGCTAATAATTTATGGGAAATACAGTCAAAAGAAAAACATATGCACTCTTGCATATGTTTATATATAATAGGCTACACCATGGGGATGCAACCAGCAAAACTCCAACTCAAGGAAATTCTGTAGGACAAACAACCTTGTGTCTTCAATGACTAAATTACAAGCAGAAAGAAAGGGAGAGAAGATTCATAGATTAAAAGAGACTTCAGAAACCTACCAAGAAATCATAACATGTAAACTTTACTTGAATTCTGATATAATCAAATGAACAATTAAAACGCCTTTATGACATTTATGAAACCATTGGAAACGTGAACACTGTATGATAATATGAGGAACTATTCGATTTTTTTTAGGTTTGATCATTGTACTGTAGCTTTTCTTATAATTTGCATGACTTCTTGTGTAAATAATATTTATAAATGAATTAGTATATAGGTTTTGATTCAAGATAATAAGGAAAGAACATATGTTATACTTCAGTAACTACTTGATGAAATAATATGAAGAGAGAAGCAGGTACAGACATAAATGAAATCAAATTGGCCATAAGCTGATAATGAGCAAATGGGATCAGACTCTTGAAGGGAACCCTTTCCTCCTGAACTTTTAAGAACTACTACCTGAAGCAGGGAAATGAAAACAGAAATAATATATACCCATGGGTTCCATGGCCAACCCAATAGGAAGTGAGCAGCTGTGAGCACTGCAGGATCTCTGTAAATTGGATACTTGGGCACTACCCTGGTATCTGGGTTGTATCTGTGGTCAGTCATCCCTTACTCTTCCAGCTGAAGAAAAGGTTGTGGTGAACCCTGACCCTATGCACTTTATCAACTACTATTGTTAGTGCTCACGCAGCTGTAACAGCAGCAATCCTCAGTTTAGAAGTTAGCACTTTCTGTTCAGAATATCCATTGGTCCTGGAATTTTCTAATGCTTCATAAAGGCACTGTCATTAAGGGTCCTTCTGATGCTGAAAAAAAATTAGGCTAAAGTTTAGAAAACCCTATGTTATTTCAGCACACAAGATATCTAACAGAAGATGAAATAGAAACTTCCAGGGACATTGACTAGCCTCTCTCAATGATTTATTCGTCTCAGTGATTTATGCAACTCATGATATGCAGTCTCCAAGATGAAAACAAAAGTGGTGAGTTTTCCTAGACTAATCCTTTTTCTCCTACAAAAGGAAATCAGGGATTTTTGCCTGCTGGGAAAAGAATGGCAGTGGTAATGTGGGAAGCCAGCAAGAAGAGGCTTTCAGAATAGAAAGCAGGTTTTTACTTTCAAGCCTGAGCTATTATATTCAAATAGACACAGAGTTCCAGAGAGCTCAGGTGCCAAACGCTCATTGTTGAAGAATAACAATAACTATAAAACAGAGCAGCATATAGATTGATAGGTCCTTCAAGGTTATAATGGGGATCAAAGAGTTTAACAACTCACTAAATAGGCATATTTTTAACAACTGAGCCATTTTGGAGACCCTGAATTTCTAAAGATAAGCTTATGCTTCTAGTAGAAAAATAATGGCCAGTGTATTCTATTGCTGACCATCCAGGGTTATTTTATGCAGCATTTAATCAATGCTTGGGTGTTAGAAGGCCTTGCGAATCATTATTTAAGGGAATCAGCACTGCTGGGTCTTAGAATGGCCTGATAAAGGGAGAGGCCTCTAGAGAAACCGAGAGAGATCCAAGCCATTTCTCAGAATGAAACCAAATAAATCACCTATTATAGAATACCTCTTATGGTGAAGTTACATAACTCATCCACTACATTCAGTGTCTGGGTGATGGGATTAATTGTACCCAAAACCTCATTTGACCTCTACCTCGGAACAAGATGACCAGTCCCAACCACAATGCCTTACATACAGAAGGAACTCAAACATATATTGAATGAACTACTACCGCCTATCAGTGAATGTGAGCATAAAATTGTTGGCTAGAGGTTTTCTGTTCTAGAATTTACTCTTTCATCAGAAAATAAAGGAATGGAGGATGTATTAGGCTATTTTGACATAGCCCAAATTATAGTAGTTTGTATTTTTGAATATTTACTGTAAATCAGGGAGTATTATAAACATTTTACATGTATTAATTCTCATAAGCCTCTGAGATAGGTATCATGATTTATTTTTACAAATAGAAAACTGAGGCACAGAGAATTAAACTAATATGCTCTAAGTCTTCTAGCTGGTAGTGGCACAGCCTGGAATCAAACCAAGTCTGACTCACTCCAGGATCTGCAGTCTTTACCAGTTTTCCAGACTGCCATTACCTATCCACAGCAAGTGAACAAAAGCCTTATTAAAGATCTCCATTTACTTTGAGAGGATATTTCAAGGAAAATTTTCTGTGTGATAAAGATGCCATATACTATAATAGTATAGAGCCTAGGACCTAGAATCAAGATTTGATTTATGGCTCTACCAATGATCCTAAGCAGGTTAACCTCTCTAAGCTTACTTTAAACTGGAGATAATAGTACCTACCTCAGAGGTCATTTTTGAAAATTAAATAAAGTAGTCTACATAGTGTTGGATAAAGAAAATATGGCCTATGTACATCATGAAATACTATGCAGCCATTAAAAAGAATGAGATTTTTTCCTTTGCAGCAACAGGAATGCAGTTGGAGGCCATTATCCTAAGTGAATTGACACTAGAATGGAAAACCAAATTCCACATGTTCTCGCTTGTAAGTGGGAGCTAAACATTGGGTACTCATGGATATAAAGATGGGTTATAACAAAGAGTGGGAGGGAGGGGGATGGTCAGAATTGAAAAACTATCTTTTGGGTATTACATTCAGTATCTGGGTGATGGGATTAATTGTACCCAAAACCTCGGCATTATGCAAACCTGCACACGTTTGCATAATGACGAGGTTTTGGGTACAATTCATTCCCCTGAATCTAAAATAAAAGTGGAAATTATCAAAAAATAATAATAATTCACATAAAGCACTTAGTACGGTTGGCACACATGTTAATGATAATAACAAGTTTACTGAGCTATTATGTACTTACTAAACATCCAATAAATTTTAGTTAAAATAGTTCATTGTGCTCAATGACAGCTTGATGTCTACCACATTTGGATAGTTTCTAATCTTTTCTAACCTTGAGAGATGTACTTATCACCATTGAATTCAAAAACTTTGTGGAATAATCTTTATTAACCTCAAGCTAATGATTAATCAAAAAAGATGTCTGTGTGTGTGTGTGTGTGTGTGTGTGTGTGTGTGTGTGTGTGAAAGGTCTATATACTACTATGATGTCCTAAATCAGAGAGTTGAAGAAGGCTAGCCAATTATATGTTGCTCGGACCTACTCCCTGCTAGGTAGGAGTTAATATTACTAAAAGTCAGTGAGAAAACATTTTAAGACCTGCCTTGACCATTCCTTTCCATGTAGAGAAGTACACTTATCATCAACTCTGGATGTTGTCGTAACTTTCAGACGTACTGAGTCTGCTGTGGCAAGGCAGGATGGAGAAAAGAATAAGTCAGGACTAGAGGGGACAGACTAGCTCTACCCAGTAAATGGGAATCTTGGCCATTACTTAAACTTAGACTGTGCACAGGGGTAAGAGTGACCTTAGGTCTGATTCCAGCTTGCAATGATATTCAAGAAGTCTGATCTCAGGGCAGAAGCACCACAACAGTCTTTAGGCCACAGTAATATGTAAAGGTCAACTGATGGTGACATCTTGGTTCTTTGGGATTTCATTACAAGAGGGAGACTTTTTTTCACACAACCCAGTTGCAGCTGGATATAAACCTGTGGCGAAAGGAATAAGAACAAGATCCAGATTTTGAGGGAAAAATGGTAAGAGTAGAAAGATTTTCAGGACCACAGCCAAATGTAGTCCAGGCCTGGCAGGGAGCTGGAAGAAGTGAAATACAGGAGCCAAGATGAAAATTTAACTTCCATTCTATGAACATGCGAGAAAAAGCTGCAGCAAAGATAATCATGAAGGGCTTTCTGAGAATTAAGTAGAAACTAATGCAGTATCAGGAAGCACAAATAAGTTGGAATAGCAGTGATGAAAACTTCAAATCCTTTCATGCACTAAAGCTGAGATATCTAAACTGAAATCCATTTACAGGGTTCAGAGGTCCCTCTGAAATATGCACAAAATATTCATAGGTGGACACATATGTGCAGTTTTCTGGGAGGAAAGTTCATAGCTTTGATCTGTTTCTCAAAGTAGTTTGTGATCCAAAAAAGATGTATGACCACTGGCCTGAGTGAAGTTCATATAGGCTTGATCATTTGGTTGTTACATTCGTGAGACATATTTCCCTAACATTTGACCTCATAAAAAAACACAGATAGTAAGTAGTGAAATCATAGCATTTCCACATGTTGCTGTTCTTCATATCTGAAGAGGACCCACTTGGCCCTGAGAGCCACCTACCTTCAGTGTAGCCACCAGAGCCTAAGGCCTGATCAGCAGTCCAGTGCCCCCTTTGCTGATACTGCATTCTCAGGACTGCCATGGGTGTGTGGCTGTACTTCTCTTTTTTTAGTCCAGTGTTGTTTATATCATGGATACCAAAATGTATCCATGGAAAGGGTTTTTAAACTCCTATTTGCAAAGGGGTGCCAGACTGACAGGGTTTTTCACGGTTCATGTAAAAATCAGAAGAACAGGGAAAATAAAATGAATTTTCTTTCACAAAGCTAAATCTATTCAATTTAAGTAACTATCCTTTATTCTGATAAGACAAAAGATTATTCCCTTATGAATTATTTGATGTTAAACAAACTATGTTTTGATGGTGATATCTGATGGTGGTTTGTTCTTTTGTTTTTATCCTACTTGATCTATGTTGGTCTCCAATTAAAAAAAAAAAAATGTAGCCCATGAAATCAAATTGTAGGAACTGGTTTCTGTTCTACTCAACAGCAAGACATCTAGCCTGCAAGTGAATGCCACAATCAGATCCAGTGGTTGTTTTTCCACAGACCACTCATGTGACTACTCATGCCTACTGGCTCCTCATGTGACTGATTTTCCATGGTGGAGTTGGAACTAAAATAGGCACAACTGACTTGTTTGTTTATTTGTTAAATAGACACCTGGCTTAGACAATTAGGATAGCATCAGAACTTAGCAGTTCCATCTTTAACTCAGAAAGTGCACGGCATCACATTTGGTAACTGCTGGTTGAAATAAAATTGACTCACTTTGTTCAAGGCACATAGGAACCCCTACACAATTCCCTCCTGCCCACTGTGAATCACGTTCAGCCAATTGCCACCCAGCACAGGGCTACTCACTTTCTGTGAGTGAAAAGTAGCTCTTATAAAGGGATGGAGTGTTAGAGCAAGAATCTACTTGTGAGAGTCTCAGTCTCAATTTTAGTAATGACTTATTCTGTGACCTGATATGGTCACTCAAGTGGACTTTCTATCCTTGTGGGGAATGAAAAAGTGACAAATACTGTACTTGCTTAATAGTGTTAGTATAAGGACATTAGGCTGAGGTAGGCATGTAGGCACTATTCAGGAACAGAAATTTCTTAACCTAACTGTGGACTTCAAAAATTATGAAGCTGAAACATTTTAATCTTAGGATGAACCCATCATTTAACTTAAGGTACTTTTGAGAATAAATATGATTACTTCATTGATGTATTCATACCAGAGTATTAAGACATTTTGGTGTTTGAAAAATCTATGTGCTTTCATAATTTATCAGTTGGATAGTATCTATTATAGTTAAGACCAGTCTATTAAATAATCTTTATATAAAATGATTTCATAGGAAAACTATTAAATGTCTTGAACAGAAAAGTTATAATTGGACATAAACTATTATTAGATTCATCTTCAAGAATAATTCTCTACAAGAAATACTTTGTATGACCTTTGCTCGTGTAACCTTGTCAAGGCTACAGGGTTACCTGGACAAGTCAGGTAACATCTCTCTGCTCTTCAACTCTATAAATAAGAATAGAAGCTACCTCAAAGAATTAAATGTGGTAATACATGTATGTAAGCAGAGCAGGACACACAACAATCATTTGATAAACTTTAGCTAATATTATATTCTTTATTATATTATTATTATTGGCAAACTTGAGATATCAGCTGCAGAATACTTTACCAACAAGAAAAAGAAGCTCTGAACAATCTTACATTGTTTTGCTCTACCATTAAGTTGCAAGTTTCCCTCAATTCATCTCTATCATATCTTCCTGAGAAAACAGCAGAATATAAATAAGTTCAATCATTCTCCAACGCATACCTTATAAGACTCTCAGGAAAACCTATCTGATCTCTAGCAAATCTATACCAACATTGTGCACAAATGCATATGTGTTCACACTAACACACAGACACGTGTACACGCACACACACAGACACAAACACAAAACAGTCATTTTTAGTGTGATTCTCTAGGAATTTCAATAAACATAGGTTTGTTCTTTAAACTGAATTATATTTTATCACAAACACTGCTATAAACAATAGGAATGTTGCTTAAAAGCATAAGCCTAGAAGACAGGCCATGTACAATTATTGATCTTTTCTAATCCTTGGCCTCCGCATCTGTAACACCTGCTTTATAGGAGAAAGGATGTAGTTAAATGAGATACTGCACATAAAACACTCAGCACAGGGCCCGGCACCTTGTTCATGAAATTGTAGCTGTTATTACTCTTCATTACAGATGTTATAATTTTCATCTCTAAAAGTTCTGTTGGATTCTTTCCATAGTTTCTATTTCTCTCTTCATCACGCTTGGGATTTTCTCTAAATTTTTGAGTACATAGAGAATACAATAAGCGTTTGAAGTCCTCATCTGTTAGTTCCCTCATCTTTGTCATTTCCCAGTCTTTTTACCAACTGATTTTCTTCTAGTTAGGGTTCATAACTTGCTTTTTTGCAAAACTGGTAAACTTCTATTTATTTTTTTTTTGCACAACTGGTAAACTTGTATTACATCATAACTTTTGTCATTGATCACTGGATGTTGCACTATTCCTTTCATTAGTATTGGATTTTGATCTGCCATGCAATTAAGTTACTTGGAATAGGTTGGGTCTTTTCAAAGATGGCTTTTAAACTTTGTTAGGGTGAACTCTGAGAGCCTTTGAGCCACAACTCATTTAGCCCCTTGCTGAGGCAATACCAACAGGGGATTTTACCTGATGCCACCTGTGTTATGAGTTCTTTCCGCCCTGTTGGGAACACAAACTTAAATATTAGCACCCACCCTCTCTAATACTCTGTTCTATAAATTCCAGGTGACTTGGCCTCTCTGAACACCAATTCTGTTTCCTTCATTCAGCCAGAACAACAACACTAGATTGCCCGTCCCTGAGTTCAGCCTGGAAACACTTTGGTCATTGAACTGGTGCAATCATGGGACTCACCTTGTTTGCTTCTCTTCTCTCAGGGATGAGAGTTCTGTGCTCCCTGCTGTCCAATGTCTACAAATTGCCGTTTCACATTTTTTATCCAGTTTTCTAGTTGCTCAGGGTGGGAGGGTAAATCCAGTCCACATTATTCCATCTTAGCCAGAAGTTGAAGTCTTTGGCTATTATTATATCTGAAAGCCAGTCTTAGGTATAAAGCAGTCCTCAACTGTAAGTCAGAGTAAAAGGAGTAGCAAATGTGATACATTACAGACTGTACAGGTTAATGTATGTGATTATAGGATGTTATTAAATACATGTATCAATTTAAGCATGCACCATTTTCTTTTTATTTTTATTTTTCACTTCTGAAAACATTTAGCTTTTGAATTCTTAACACTAGGCCAATATTTATGAAAAGTCACAAATTAGGGAGTTTTGTATAATTTGAAATCCTGTTAAAGATATGATTAAGACCTTTGTGACTGACTTGGTAAATTAAAATTTTCTCTAAAAGAACAAAAATTGATTTTCTTTTTTGTTTTTTTCCTGAGGCATGCAATCCTCTGAATATTGAAAATTAGGTTACTCTTACATAAATACATTGCAACTGTAATTTAACATATCTATGAAGCTGAAGTATTAAGATCCTTCCCCTGCAAGGTTTAATTTTTATTATACAGCATTATACTAATATTAAACATTATTACATTGTTCAACATTAGATGAATTTGTCGAAAGTGTGTTTGTGTATGAGAGATTGTGCATTTGTGTGTTCATGTGTGCATGTGTGTGTAGGATGCACAGAAAGAATATGCATACAACAAGGAAAATTAAGCTCAATTTCTTGCTTAAATAAATATTTTATATTTGTTAATATAGTACTTAATCTTCAGGCTGAGGATTATAAATCCATGAAGGGAAATTGAGGAATTCAGACTTAAAAAATTGCCCTTGAGATGGAATTTAATCATCGCATTTTGAGATATATAAAATATACTACAAAGTGTGAGATAGCTCTACAAAATTTTTATTACATAAAGTCATTCAAATGAGAAATACCTCCTAGATTCACAAACTGTAGTATATATGTCTAATAAAAATTACTCTTAAATCTTACATTTCCCCTTTGAGACATTTATTGTTCCTGGAGAAAGCAGTATTTTTTTTTTCTTGTTCCTAAATCTGTCTTCTATTAAACTAGAGGGCTCTATAAATCAGTAATAACCTTTCAGATATCAACCTTTTCATAATTATGTCCTCCAAATGCAAGTAATTGTTTACATATTTTATACAGAAATAAATCGGAGAAAACATATGTTCCATTTGATTTGGTGGAGGTATAAAGATTTAGGTTATTTTTCAGCATTTGTGAAGTTTGGCTTTACACTCTTTTATACCACATTTGGAAAAAAATTATTTCACACAGAGAAACAAATACATCAGATGATGCTATGCAGTTATGAAGGAAAAACGTGTGTTGCCAGGTAGGAATTGATAAAGATTTTATCAATATATGGCTTTCATTAAATATAATACTCTGCATGACTTAGTGTACCATGTGTGTACTATGACTATGATTTTAACTGTCTAACAGGTTAAAAGGAATGTTTGGTTTCAGTCAAATAGAGCTCTGAGTATCTTTCTGATGCTTTGGCTGTATTTCTCAACAGGAAGTGGGTAAACTTCCAAACAAGAATGATTTCAGATTAAGAAACAACACCAGCATCTCGAAGGCCCTCTGTTTGTATAATGAAAGGACAGCAAACAGAGAGGCCCGCGGCTGTTTTCCTAGATGCCTGCTCTGGGTGCCAGCCATCTGTGTTCATTTAGATGGTGTATGTGTGTGTAGGTAGGTGAAGGGCGGGGGAAAGAGGAGAGACAGATCTCAGGTTGCAGTTCTGAGTGTGGTCTCTATAAAGAATGAAACCTCTGCCTGGTGCCTCTCAAACAAGACCCTCATCTGCTCGTCTCTCCAGAGAAGTAATTTCACCAATACCAGCTGCAAGGGGAATGTTTTGTGTTTTCTTTATTCAAAGTGAAAGATGTTAAACAGAAATTTTCAGAAGCACTTTTGTTTGGAAGAGGGGAAAGGAAGATCGCAGAAACTGGAAAACATCCATGAAATTAGCCCTAAATCATGGCCAATACTGATCATTTCCTGACAAGCTGTCTATCAACCAAGCCACAACAATAGTTTATTCAAAGCCCTCTGGTGCTAAAAGTGATAGAGCATTGTTAATTGAATGTTGGTACAATGGTGGATATTTTTAAATTTTAACTTTCATAACTGCAGTAGTGGCTAGAACAGCCGTTTACTATCAGGAGTCCCCAAAACACATTGTTAATGTCTCTCTTACAGCTTGCATTAACAGGATTTAGAAGAATATCAGTTTAAAGTAAAGGACCTGAGAGCTTATTTGACTCACTTAAGATCAGTGAAAGAGAAGAGAACAGAAATTAGAAATGCAATCAGTCATGTTAGCTCCAAATTTGGCATTTATTTGTGAAAAAGTCTATCTAAATATAATGTCTGTAATTAGGAGATGGAAATGAGCTAATTTGGCTGCTTGATTTTATTTTTTCATAATTCATAACCAAAAAATTCTGGTTGCCTTTAATTGATGTATTTATTGATAAAATTTTACAATATTCCTATGGCCTAAAATATCATTAGAATATTCTTCCAATGCTATTCTCCCACCCTGTCTCTTTCCCTCCTGCTCTCTCTCCACCTCCTTCTCTCTCACTATCTCTCTGAGTTTTTGTAGCTCTCACTTATCTGACCTTCTGTGACATATTCTGTTCTTAAACTTGAATTGGTCAATGTTGTGATTCTAACACCAATGTCCTAATGCAAGAAGAGGACATGCCAGATTCTGGGGTTAACTTTCTGGATGTCATGTCTGCTTACAGAAAAATGATTTGTATTCCCAATTTAGTGTCAAATTATCCATTTATGAAATTATTATAGGGTGTGAAACTCTTCCTCTTAAGCCCTTCTCAAGGAAAAAAAAAATCTTTTTATTAACTGGACTAAAAACCTACTTTAAGAAAAGCTCCCAAACTTAATAGTAGTAAGAACATTTCAAGTTTCTTAGAATGCTGTGTTTCTAGGTTTTCATGTAATCAGAATGCTTAGGAGAAGAGCAGGAACATTTATTAAGTATTTCACATATTTTGAGAATTATTTAAAATGAGAAACAGACTCACCTGGGTAACATTTTGCCTTGAAAATTCACTGGCCTGAGTTTGTACACCACAATGCAAAAGATGCGTAAGGAACTATTTAAGCTGATTTCTTTCTACTCTAGTATTTGACAATTGCTACAAGAGATTTCTTCCTGGGTGTAAAGGAGTTTCTTCCTAAGGGATCCGATAAAATCTGTCGGCATCTTTTGCAGTTTGGGTCTTCCTATTACTTTGTCTTATTTCATGAACGAGCAAGCACATATCTGTCCAGAATCACAGGATTCTCACAAAAAGTACAGGACAAAGATCCAATACTCAAGAAGCTTAGCATGTGGTTAGGGGGAAGCAAAACTAATCAATGTAGGAAATAAATGGAGATCCTACATGTTTTGAAGAGCAACAGGAAATGGTTTTGTGAGATTAGGTGAGTAGAAAACAATGGCATAGATTGGGGAAATAGCTTGGCTTATAAGACTAATATTGAGGAGAGCCCTAGGAGTAGAGAAGGCAAGGAAGACGTGTAAAATAATTTTGCACACATGAGAAAGAATCAATTAATTTACTACCTTAAACTTAATGCCACTGTAGATTCTTGAGCATGGGGTGACATGAGGAAACAGGTGTTTAGGAAAATTATTCTGACAATGATATTGGAGGTTTGGTAGGAAATGGTCTGGAACATGGAGCTATATCAGGCAGCTGTTGGAGTGATTCACAGTGATTAGACTTGGGCTGAGGTTACGGCAGAGTTAATGAAAAGAGCCCAAATCTTGAGGATGCTTTGAAGAAACAAACAATGGCTTGTCCGTATCACAGGCTAACTATAGGAGAAGGACACTGGTAAATTGTCCAAGGTGACATCATGATCTCAAGCTTGCAAAACTGGAAGAATGCAGGTATTACCCAGAGAAATGAGAAAGTTGGTAACTTGGATAGGAAATGCATTTTCTAAAAATTATAAAATGTATTTGAGAGTATGGTAGCTTCAGTTAATATTTATATTTAAAAAAAAAAACATTCTAGGCCGGGTGTGGTGGTTTACGCCTGTAATCCTAGCACTTTGAGAGGCTGAGGTAGGCAGATCACTTGAAGTCAGGAGTTCAAGAGCAGCAGGGTTTTACCAGTTCAAGAACATGGTAAAACCCTGTCTCCACTGAAAATAGGCTGAGGCACGACAATCACATGAACCCAGGAGGCAAAGGTTGCAGTAAGCAAAGATTACGCTACTGCACTCCACACTCCAGCCTGGGTGACAGAGTGAGACTCCATCTCAAAACAAAACAAAACATTCTAATGCTTTAGCATTCCTACTTCTGAATATACACTGCAAATCACTGAAAGTAGAGATTTGAACAGATATTTATACATCCATGTTCACAGAGCATCATTATTCACAATAGCTAAAAGATGGAAACAACCAAAATGTCCATTGACAGATGAAGGAATAAACAAAATGGGGTGTACACACACACACACACACACACACACACACACACACAAACCAAGAAATTAGTTGGATGTGGTGGCGCACACCTGTAGTCCCAGACACTCAGGAAGCTGAGAAGACAGGAAGATCACTTGGGCCTGGGAGGTCAAGGCTCTAGTGAGCTGTGATCACACCACTCCACTCTAGCCTTGGCAACAGAGTGAGACCCTATCTCAAAAGAAGAAAGGAATGAAGCCCTGATACTAGCTAAAACATGGATGAAGCTTGAGGGCATTCTACTAAGTAAAATAAGCCAGATATAAAAGGACAAATATTGTATGATTCCACTAATATGTGGTACCTATAATAGTCAAATGCCAAGAGACAGAAAGTAGACAGAGTTTATCAGGGGTTGGAGGGAGAGGAGAATGGAGAATTATTGTTTAGTGGGTACAGAGTTCAGTTTGGAAAGATGAAAACATTCTGGAGACAGTGGTGGTGACGGTTGCAGAGCAATGTGAAAGTACTTAATGCCACTGAAATATATACTCAAAAACAGCTAAAATGGTTAAGTTTATGTTATGTATATTGCCAAATAGAAAAATGAGTGTCATAAAGAAAGACGGTGTAAACCCTGAGGGCAAACCAAATAAGTGCTTCCAAGAAACAAGTAGAATCTGTACACTTGAATTTAAACTTAGGACCTGCCACTTACTGTGTGTCTCTTTTTCTTGTCTGTAAAAGGGTGCAATGAAGAGAACTAAACGAAATAACAGGTAACACTCTCTTGTACTTGGTAGGTGCTCCATAAATACTAGTTTCCTTCACAGTTTAAAAAAAAAAAATACTCTTCAATTTGAACTTCTTCCCTGGACAGAATTAGACTTCAGATATATTACTGTGCATCTTTCATGCCAAACAGAATAACTTCAAAGAAGAGGTGCAGCAGCTGTCACAGAACAAAGACTCATGCAGGAAGGGTACCTCTTTCCTTATGCAAAGACTGAAAAACAGGAAAACGCAGCAGTAAACATGAGGCTGCCTTTGACTGACAACTTCCCCTCCTGCCTGTGCCTCTTGCCCAAATCTCAGAAACATCTGTCACATACACTTGACTGTGTTTGGTTTTTATCTTAAAGAATCTTTATGACTAAATAAACTAATAAGATGTGAGGAAACTTCCAAGTACTCAGAAAGCTGACAGCTTGCCCAGAAATACCCAGATGATTTCAGTCCCTCTCAGTTCATTGGTAGAGAAGGAGGTTCAAGGGAGAAGTAAGACAATGTTATGTTAAAAAGCTACCACTGCCTCTGGTTAAAAATCAAAACTGGAAATTATCATAACTATTAGTGTGTGGTTAGAAAAGATTTTTAAAATATCATAAAAGTTACTAAAACACTTAGATATTTTCATAACTTCTAAACATTATCATGTTCCTGGTTAATATAAGAAGGAATTTTATTTTAATCAAAAAGGATGTCAAAGCCAGAATCCACTGATGAGAAAAATACTTCCAAAAATCTAAATAGGTGACCAAATCTCTCTGCTTTAAAAGAAATAGGAAAGAGATACCTCTGTAAAGCAGATGCAGCAATGCAAAGCAGGATACATGAATTTAGACGTTCATTACATTTGTATACCAAACATCAATATACTTTAAAACTGCGGTGATCTCAGAGTTCCCGTGTGCTGGAGCTGAGACCAGAACCCAGGGCTCCTAATTCCGAGTTCAGTTTAATATCCCATTGTATCCAATGCCACTCCAGAGGGTCACAGATCAATCTTCAAAAAACCTCCACAAACCACCCCCATGTCCGATATTGGCATAACGGATCCAAAATAAAGCCATCTAGACAATTTTGATTGTGATCCTCAGATGCCACCCCATCCAAAATAAACCTTACTGGCTCTGATTTCCAACTGACTGACAATACACATCACGCTTTCCAATATGCACACATTTGGATTGGGCTTGTGGCTTGCATGTTAGTCACCCGCACTGCTGACCCCATGAATAATCACCTCTCCAACTGAAGTTCAGACAATAGGCATCCTGCCTCCTGCTTTACATCCCAGGCATTTTAGAGACACCCCTGTGGTCCTAATTCCTGGAAAACAATCATTTACACTGTATAAAACTCAAAACTCTAGGGAGGCAGTTAAGTAATTTAGCATTTTTGTTTTATGTGAAAATATTATTTCTAGTTCATAATGGGAAGTTCAAAAACATTGTTTCTTATCATTAAAAGCTCTCAGAAGTGTGTAATCTGGGCTCTTTATAGGTATGTTCCCTGTAAAATGCCCTGAGGAACAGAATACAGATCTTTCTACAAAGAAATACCTTCAATATCTTTTGTTGTTTAAGGAAAAGGTCTTTAATTTAGAGCTGAATTAGTCAGACAGATGAACAGTCCTTGGAATCTGCAGTTAGTTTAACAAGCTTTTAAGACAAATGAGGAGTGTTTGTCATCTATTATGTTGTGATGACTGTGAATTGAATGTAGAGAGTATACAGGCTCCTTCATTCAAGAAAGTTTTTTTCATGCCATTATGTTCCAGATTCGTTAAGGTAGTTGGACACACATGGATCTGGCCCTGAAGGATCTTAAAGCCAAGTCAGGGTTCTGTGCAGGATCAAACAGCATCCCCTCACAAAGCCTTGAACAATTAATGTCCACCCAGAACCTCAGAATGTGACTTTACTCAGAAATAGGCTCTTTGCAGATGTAATTAAGGTATACATTAAGAAAAGGTCATACTGGATTAGGATAAGATGTAAGTCCAGTCATTGTCATCCATATGAAAAGAGGAGCGGGCACAAAGACATAGATATACACAGGCCATGTGCATGTGAAGATGGAGGCAGAGACTGAAGTGATATACTTACAAACCAAGGAAGGCCACGCATTGCTGGCCACAGCTGGAGCTTCAAGCAGCCCCCTCCCAGGAGTCTTTGAGGGATAGTGGCCTGCCAGCACTTTGACTTGGTACTTCTAGCCTCCAGAACTGTGAGAGAACAGATTTTTGTTGTTTTAAGCCACTCGGTTTGAGATAATTTGTTACAGCAACCCTAGCAAACTAATACAGGCTCCATCTTTGAACAGTCTGATTTAATTGGCTGGGTATAACCTGGGCATCAGTATTTTTATGAAAGCTCCTTAGGTGATTCTAATGTTTTAGGACCATCACTCTAGATTGGTGGCTTTCAGTCTATTAGCATCAGCATCAACTGGGAACTTAGCACAAATGAAAATTCTCTGGACCCACACAGGCTTTCCAAATTGAAAATTCTTAAGAGTAGGATGCAGCAATTTGTAGCTTAACAAGCACTCCAGGTCATTCTGATGTCACTAATGTTTGAGAACCATTGTTCTGGTTGATAGGGGATCCAGGATGTGATGGAAAATAATCAGTGAACAGGAATGGAGCAAAGCAATAGGCAGGCATATTTTAGAAAGTAAGGGAAGAGTGTTCATGTGTTCTTCTGGCAGCGCTGTGACAGTACATCTGGAAACCTCAATATCATGCTTGGTGTTGCTTAGAGGTATGTTACCAATCAATCGTCTTTCAAGTGCAATTTTTGAAGACACACTGTTTTCAAATGTGCAGGGGGCCCTGACAATTTTGTTGCTATTCAGGTCTATAGCAACCCAAACTCTTCATTAAGATTGTATCTGTACCCATATCCCAGGAGGCAGAGAAGGAGGGCAATCTGAACACCTGAGATGAAAACTTCATTGAGGCCAACTTCTTTTCACTTCAATTATTAGAAAACTGGCTCCATTTGCCACTTCTTTTACCCACAGCCTGAAGAACAAAGCAGGCCAATACATTTCATTCTGGCATGGAATTATGCTCTTTGCCAGAATCAAGCTATGTAAGGCTACAGTAACCACTAAGAATGGGGTAACTGGAAACTGTGCCCCTTGATGAAAAGCCTTGGTAAAATCCACATGGCTAGCAGTTGATAGAAAAGAAAATATTAGATGTTATTTTTTTCAGAGATAAATGGTTTAAGAATCCAATTTAAATATTTTTATTTGTTTGCTTCATTTTCATGCATCTGACCTCAAGCAGAAAGGCTTTCCTGGCAGCATTGACAAGATTCTTTCTCAAGTTGCTTGCATTGTAGTCACATAATCCACTCAACTTTCTCTTATGCTGTTATGGTCCCAGTATTATATTGTCAACTTAAGGTACCATTTCCATAAGCATTAAGGTAAAAAGTACTAATTTTTCTTCTAACTCCATCTCTTACTTGATCCAGATTTAGAAACTGCCCTGACAAAAAGAATTAGCTTCTCATTTTTAACAAGTACAAGAGAAATTATTAAGTAGACCAAGTTTGTCTTTGAAGTCCCTTTCCCTTTCTTTTTGGGGTATTCATCCCACATGCCTGGTGCCCACAAGCAGACCCATGATTGCTCAGGGACTCCCATCTAATTGGAGTGGTCCCTCATTTTTCAGATTTTTCTTCTTCTGTCATGCCTCATAGTACATTGATCTTGTGGATTAAGAAGACCATGCTCTCTTTTGGTTAACATCAGGGATGATGGATTGATGTTTGTTATTTGTTAATTAGCTGAGGTTACTCTTACTAGATACAATAATATTTTAACCCACATGAAGTACAGATGTCTTCTTACAAGGGGAAATTGAATGATAAGAACAGCAAGCTCTTGCAGTCATAGTTTGAGGACATCTGCCTGGAGTCCTTACAGAGTTGCCCCAAGTTGTGGTAGCTCATTGATGTCAAAATCAGCTAGTCTGATTGTTAAATGAAATGCAGACTCTTGCATTCCACCCCAGACCTTCTGAATCAGAGTTCAGTGGTTGGAACTCAGAACTCTGAATTTTAACAACTCTCCTGATTATTTTTTGGTACACTGGAGATTGAGATTCTCTGGTATCATGGAAGGATCCCCAGATTCAGAGTTAGCAGGCCTGATTTTTAGCCTCGTCGTCACCATGTGCCATGTATCCTGGGCAATTCGTGCCTCTTGTTTTGGAATTTAATTCCTTTACAGTCAAATGCAGCTAAGAATACTTGCCTTGTATTGTCCACCTTAGAGAATAGTCGCAAGGCTCAAATGAGTTAAAGCCTTAAAACTGCCCTCTGTACTACAGGGCTGGCACTAGAGTGAGGTGAGTAGGCCACTCACCTTGGGGCATAAAATTAAAGGGGGTCCCAAAAAACTCATAATCAAGATAAATAATATTTTAATGCAATATTTTTAAATCAAAATTAATGCATAAAAGACTATAATGAACAAAACATCAACACTTGTGATGTTTTGGGTTAGTGTTACTGATTTTTTTCTTTTTGCCTCAAACTCAGTATAGCATGGCATTGTTACTAATATGTATTTTAAAATTTGATGTGTTTACTGTAGATGTTTTTGCATTAATTTTTATTTTTAAAAAGTGCTTCCATCAAAATATTATTTTCTTCATTAATTGATTAGTGTGTGATACTCCCTTAAAATTTATACCTGTGGTTAGTAACTTAGCTGGTCTCTCCCTAGTCCTAACCCTATAATCTAGAATAGGTTGTGCAGACGAAGGTTGTTTTTACTGGGGTGGACCTGGTTTCCTCAAATAGTTGCATGCACACATCAAAATCCCTGCTGGCATCCTAGCTAAATTCTGCCTGTTGAACGGTGAGAATGTGGTCCTAAGAACATAAGGCAGGTATAGGCATGCGCACAGTGATTTTCAGGAGCCTCCCTTCCCGGGGGCACCAGAGAAGAACTCCTCATTGGGATATTTGGTATGAGAACCTGTTTAACTGGTGTAACTGGAAAATTTGCTTTTGTTTAAGGGAGAACTCCTCCTGCAACTACACACCCATCCCAAAAAAGTTTAAATTTGCAAGTTGCCTCATACGTAGTTTTTATTTCAAAAGCTATTATCGTATACCAAGGCTAGCAAGTCCCCTTGTGCTGGAGACAAGAATTAGTGCCACCCAGGCTGGGTAGCTGGTAACCAGGGAGTGGAATGATTAACAAGAGACCTGAGGGTCGGGGAGAAGGGTGATCTGCTGAGCAGAAAGAAGCCCCTGCTCTTTTGCTGTTTTTTATTTCCCCACCTCACTCAAGGAGGCAGCTTAAAATCCAGTACTGAGAAGACACAGGGCCAGGTAGAACAGCCCACCTCCTCCCCTCCTGCCAGCCTGGAAGGTCTAGGATAATGCCTTCAACTTCTCTTACAGGACCCCAACATTTGTGCAGTGTTTGCTGTACAAGGAGGAAAAATGGAAAGAAAGCATGGCATAAAAGGGGGAAAGAGACTCTGCATGAGAAGCCCAGCTCAGCAGGCCAGAGGACCCTGGATCTGTGAAAGTAAGCATCCAGCCTTTGCAAAGCAGCAGGCAAACTTAGAGATGCCCAACTTCAGAGTGATGGCAGAGTGAGCCTGGGTCTGCAGGTAAGCAGATGACAGCCACAGGAGGAAAAACAAAAAGTAGAAAACAAAGTTAACTCTCTAAGCCTTTGACACTAGATACTAAAACTAAAGACAAACAACACTGTGACATTCTCAACTGTGATCTTTACATGTGATATTTTCCTTTCTTCCAATGCTTCCCTGGTCCATACATAATGATTTTTAGAATAAAGTGTTATATGACTTATCACATATCTGAAAAACCTTTGTGGCTGTGATAAGCTAAACAATGTCCCCTCACCCCCCACAAAAAATCCACATTGTAATCCCTGTACATTGTTAATATGTTGGCTTACACAGTAATAGATTTTGCAGATGTGATTAAGAATGTAGAGATGAGAAGAGTAGCTTGGTTTATCTAGGTGGGCCGAAAGCAATCACAAAGGTCTTTATAAATGGAAGCAGGAGGCTCAGAGTGAGTAGGAGGAGTAGGGAAGATCAAAGTAGGAGGCTGGAGGGATTGAGGGAAGCTGAAAAGGTCAAGGAACCCCCTGAAGCCTTGAGAAGGAATGCAGTCTTGCTAACACCCATGTTTTAGGCTTCTGACCTCCAGAAGTATAAAAGAATCAATTTGTCTTGTTTTAAACTACTCAGTTTATGGTGATTTGTTACCGTAGCAATCAATACAGTTGGTAATGGGTTAACACTGGTCATTCTGACTTTTAAAAAATTGTGCCTAGACTTGACAAGCAATGACCTTGTCGTGCAAGTAATTTGGTGGCAAACGTTCAAAGCTGGCAAAACATTTACTTAGCTGTATGTTTGGAGGACCTCAAAGTATGTTTGAGCTGAACATGGTATAGTGCACAGGCCTGACACTTCGGCAGCACCCAGGTCAGTGCTATATAGTATGAGGCACTTAATAAACGCTTTTTGTCAGTCTCAATAGGAATAACAGCTGACTGTGGGTTATGGCGTTCCCATTTCCACCAGGGTAAGACAATTTAGAAAGTTGGATTCCAGAAACTTGAACCATGAAATCTAATATTTACAGCTCCACCTCAAGAAAAAAGAAGTGGGCAAGGCAATGGAACAAAGATATAAATGAGTAATGTTTCTATATGGTGACAGGATTTTTAAGGCACCCAGTGATGCCAATGAAATTGAGTCATTTGGAAGAGTTAGGATTTGGGAGGCACTTTTTGGTAAGTGAGTGGAATAACTCCTTGTCAGTTCCATGCTGGCTTCTGCATCTACTTGTGGCCGTGCCCTTTCTGTTCATAATGGTTATGTCACTGATGTATTTATACTTTCCAGTGGAGTCTGAATCAACAAGGTTTATTCACACACAGATAATTCAAATTCATAAAGCCATGCCTGTGATTCTCTTCAGATATTTACTGACTTAGAGTGAGGCACATGTAGCCACACTTAGCATTTTACCTTATGGTTTCTGGCTCTCTTCTCTGGCTCACATGAAGAGCTGCTCATTCATCTTCACAGTTAGAGAGATGCTATAGTTTAATATGCCTTTGAGAAAGAACTTCACTCTATAGAGAGTTAAAGTAATTGTGGTGAAGATGACGTTGAAAACAGGAATATGATTTTCAGATTCCTTTCTGAGCAGGGACCACAGGCAAGAAGGAGAATGTACTCAGTGGCTAATATGAGTACACTCTGTAGGGCATAACCTCTGGACTTGTTCTGCCAGTGATTCCATGCCACATTGCCACTTACTTTCTTTTCTTGGCCAACTTACTTAACATTTGTACCCCAGTTTTCTCATCTCATGTACCACAGTCACCCACAAATAAATAAAGAACACACAGATGCCTTTATCACTCAGGATGTGGCACCCAGAGCTGAGATGGGGATAAGTGGACTACCCCACTAGGTTGTTGTGAAGATTGAATAAGTTAATATGCATGAAGTGTAATCAAATGATGCCTGGCCCACAGCTTTTATTCTTCTTCACAGGTCCCTAACTCTTTCCACTGCTCCACTGAGCCCCCCACCATCCTTTATGCCAGCACTGTGAAGATTGTTCTTGCCTCCCCTGCTGTCATTCAGTAACCTCTACAATCTGGCCCCAGTAGAAAGAACTTGCCAACAACATATCAATAGCAGAGATGAAAGTCTGGTCATATGGTACCCACATCTATTGAAGTAGTCATGCTGATACCAGATATCCCTGGTTCTCTGTCTTTGAGGCACATGGTAGAACTATACTTTCTAGTTTTCTGTGTGGCTGGGTGGGTCATATGACAAGTTCAGACAAATGAGTTATGATTAGAAACATTTAATCGTTAATACATATTCTAGCACTCTTTCCTTCTGCCACCATAACTGATCATGTTTCAGACAGTGACTTCTCCATCAGGCTGGTTCCAGAGTGAAAATAGAGCCTAATAGAGTCTGTAGTTGATACAATATGGACATGCAGGGTGAATGAGAAAATGCTTTTGTTGGGTTAAGCACCTGAGGTTTGATGGTTTGTTGCTCCTGCAGCACAACCTTACCTATCCTAACTAATATGATTATCATTGACTAACCTGACAACAGAAGAGTCTCTCTACTTCTACTGTGATGAGGAACAGAGTTTTACCTATTATATCTTAATAGCAGCAGCCTCTGGAAGTAGTTATATCTCTACCACTTCTTACCCATGTGGCATAAAGCCAGCTATAAACCTCTCCAGGTTTCAGTTTTCCCTTTTAAAAGTAGGAGTAAGTAAGACCTTTCTCATGGAGTTGTTGATCAAATGAAATAATTAAATAACGAGTATTTAAATTTTGAATTTTAATGACAATTCAAATGAAATAATGTCTATGAAGTATTTATTTAGTCCATAATATCCTCAGTAAATGGTAGTTAGTCTTACTAACACAAAAGAAATTGACAAAGCCATGCCATGCTCAATACGGTTTCTAGAACCATATTATCTCTAAAAATCCCAACTTTCCGCTGTAAGTTTGAGCTAAAGATTAGTAGAAAATTTGGCAGAACAGGCTAATCAATTCCAATGGTCTATTCTTCTTGTTAAGTTTAGCTATCAGTCATCTTTTGATGAAAACAAAGCCAGCCTAGCTGTTTGTAAGCAAGCCTCTACAAAGACAGAAACTGTCTTATATTTCTTTGAATATCTCCTATGGCCTCTCACATACGCCTTGGCTATATTTCTGGATCTTTATTTAATTGTTTTGAACGCTTCTTATGTTTAACTTCTGCCATCTCCATTAGGAAAACAACATAATCTTTCCTTCAGTGCTGTTGGCATAAGCCCCCATGACCAGGCAACATTTGCCCCATGTTTAAAGAATGCAGTTGTGTAAGGTTGGTTGACCATCTGACAGGAATTCCTGCACTGAGTGGTCAGTCAGTGGAGATCTCTTTCCACTGGTAACTTTATCAAGAAAGCTAGATCCAAGACTGTATATCAGGTATATTTTCATGTGTGAAATCAAGGGATAGAAAATAACTGGAAGGAAATATTCCAAAACATTAGCAGTTGTTTCTCCCGGAAAGTGTGATGTATACAGTTGGATGGGTGATATGTATAGTACTTTCCATAGTCCTGGTCAAGAGATATTTTGGAGGGCTCCACATACCACAGTCACCCACAAATAAATATAATAAAGAACACACAGATGCCTTTATCACTCAGGATGTGGCACCCAGAGCTGGCCCAGCATAGTCTATAATACTTAACATCGCTCTCATGACCACACTCTTCAGGTGCCAGGGAAATGAACCTCTATATCACTTCCCTGTATCCTTAAAAGAAAAGGCGGCCTAATTTGAAAGCTGATAAAAATCAGGAATTATGATGATGTTGCTTTAGAATATTTGGAGGATGTAAGAGAAAAAGAGTGCTGGGTTATGAGAATAACCAAACTTATCAAATTCCTCCCTAAAGGTAACATAAATACAATAGATGCTTTTACAACAAAGTGTCATTTCTCAATAATGCCAAGAATCCTTTTTCACGCTTCTTTTCTTGTTCAAATTCCTGGTTCCCATGCTACTCCATTAGCATAATATTCAGAAAAGTTGCAGGTGGTGATTTAGGAACATTTTGTAATATTAGCATTTCATATTACCCTTAAATTTGCATGCATGTATCATATGTGTATCATGGTACCAATTCTTTATATTGGTAACTAGGTGGGCATAGAATGTTTACAATGTGAATAATGTTATCTCTATAAAAATAACATTTATTTAAAATGTTAATATATGAAATAAAATTTTGGCATATATTAACTATAACTTGTATTATACCTTTTAAAGTTAATAGATTATTTTGAATATTTTAAAAGACTTTTAGAAACATATAAAATAACTTTTAGATTTTATTTTTGTATTTAATTTATATATTCTCATTAAAATATGTTTACATATACTTTCAATATAATTGCAGTTTCTAAGCCTTCAGAGAATTGCAATGAGTTGAAAACAAAGTATGTAAGCATATTGATTATAACAACAAAGTAATTTTTCTGAAATAAAGGCAAGAAAACTTAACTGATGGAACAAATACAAATCTGTAAGTTATGTAAACACTTTATTACTCATTTAGCTATCATGACCCATAGACAGAAGAGCCAGATGTGTGCAATAATAACTTTAGCAGACGTTTGCCAGCCCTCAGACATACAAAAACTATAACTTCACATATATCCTTTGCTTTTTGTCACTATAAGGGTATATTTGTCAAGGTAGAAGGATAAAATATATTTTATAAACCAATTTATAATAAAGAACTAAAATCCCCTCCAAGTGTCAACTTCAACAATCCCCTTGGGTCTATTTGTTCAGACTGGAGTTTCCATTCAGTTTCCCATGCCAGATAAAATATAGATTAAAGCCCAGACTGTCCCCAAATGGCAGTGTCCCTGACCTCATGGCAGGAAAGAAAGAAGGCAGCCTGGAGGAAGTGACTGATTCACCATGAAACAGTGGTTTCGCTGAAACAGAGACCTCCCAGCAGCTCCAGGCCAGAATTACAAAGTACTTTAAGAGCCAGTTCTACAGGAAGAGGGCCAATTATGTCCCCAGACTGACATGGTACAAAAGAGTAGAAGAAAGATACAACCATGGGGAAAGTTGAGCCCTACAAATAATATCTCTTGTGGTGAGTTTCCTTTAGTTTCCTCAGCCCCAACACTCAGATATGCTTAAGATAAAAAGTTCTTGAACTTGACAGACAGTTGAGAGCACCAGTTGTCTCAAGAGCAGAGATTCCTTGGAAATGATAAGGTGCAAATATTCTCAAATGGCTCTCTTTGTATCCAACTGCAATCTCCAGCCATAAACCAGCAGGGGCAAAGCTCTGAGGCATCCCTCAAAACACCAGGATTCTGCTGTCTGAGGGCTCCCTGGACTTCCTAATGACAGAAACCTAGTCAGCCTAGGTTTGGGATACTTTTTTTAGAAAGAATCTCCAGGCACAACACTCAGAGAAACAAGCGGCCAGCGAAGAAGGTTGTATGGCCCCTGTTGGAAAGATTACTAAGCAGGGAGGCCCTAAGATGAAGAGAGCTGGGCTTCTGTTTTTGTTTTCTTTTTTTTAACCTTCTTTCTCAAAGCTTAACTGGAGAAGCCCTCCTAAAGCCAGGGGTGGGCCCATGGATTGTATCTTCTTCTGGGGCTATGCTGCTGGGAAGTGTCTCCCTTGAAGAGAAATTATAAATGTTCTGGACTCCTCAGAATTCCAGATTGCTTCTAAGGGGACAGTGCTGGATTCTCACAGAAAGCGCCCACTCAGAAATTGATCTGGGAAGCTGGACTTAATTCACAAAGACAGGATTACTGGATGCTGAAGAAATGAATGCTGCTCAGACCTCACTGAAGGCTCACACATTGGAGAAAGCCTCACATACTCTACACTGACTTGCCATGTGCACGTATTCACAAAATGTCCAAGGTCTATCACTATGAGTGTTTGGGTTATTCATTGCTGCCCTCATTTATCAAAAACTTATTTAGAGTTTTTGATATCAAATACTTAGTGCCTGAGGATTCAAACACAGGAATTGTGAAAAATCACAATATTCTTGAGCCCTTAGATTTTTTTTAGGTGTTTAAACAAGGCCAGGTTCTTCTCTAGGTGGAATAGTTAAAGTAAAATCCATTTTTGACAGGGACAGAGGGCTTAAACAACTTCTCTGTGCCCCGGCCCATTGAAAACACTAAAATTTGTATTCTAAATTTTAATATGGAAATGTGGTTTGGCCTGATTTTCTTCCTTGCATTACTGCTTTAATCTAATCCTTCTGTAACAGCATTCCCCAGCACAGAGGCTTGTACTAGTGAATGTGTTTGGGGAGTACAAGAGAGAGAAATATGGGCTTTGGAGTAAGGTGTCTGCAAACCCATTTATGATAATGTATTGTCTTGGTCAGTGTTACCAAGGAGTACAGTTACTTCTCTGTGTATGTTCGAGGCTTTTGATGTTAAAAAAACACACTCTCTACCCTGTGGCTTTTCCACTTACAAGAATTGCTCAGGCCTTGTGTATCCCTTTGTAGGCCTCTGCTCACATTTACCCTCCATGAACTGTCCTCCAGTCTCTGTCCAGCTCTGTTTCTTGCTCTTGGTGCCCGATTTATACATCAAAAAAACAATAAAGCTGCCCAGGGGTACTGAGCTCCAATACCAAGAATAAAAAATCACAATAAGATGTATAGCTAATTTTTCCTGTTTTTATGTGCCAAATACTTTACTTTCTGTTTTATTTTATATTCACAATCTTGGCCATTGTTCTAATGAGGCACTGAAGTCACGAGACTGGCCTGAGATCACATTGCTGGAACGCAGCAGATTTAGGATTCAAAACCAAATCTCTTTGACCCCCAAACCTACTCTCAGTTAAAATGCTGTGTGGTCTCAAAGCCCCTTTAACACTCACTGTCTCCAGTTATGTCCTGTTTTCCATTCCTAATATAATCTATCTTCTGTTCCTAAGACAGGCAGCCAGAATTTTGTTCCTTTTCAAGTTTCTTCAGAAAACCAATCTTAATTATTGATCAATGTTTTCTATTTCATTAATTCTCAACCTGATCTTTTATTTCCTTTGACCTAGTTTCTTAAGACCTTATTCTGCTATTCCCGTTTTTAATTTCTCAAGTTTGATTAGTTTATTAACTCTACCTTTCATTTTTCTCTAAGTACAGCTTTTCTTCAAATTTTGATATTTCGTCTTGCTAATCATTTGGTTCCAATCATCTTCCATTATATTAATTCTATGATGCATAAGTCATTTGAGAAGTTTTAAAATTTACAAGTATGTATTTCTCTAACTTAACTGTAAGAGTATAGAATGTATAAAGCCAGACTTTTGTGTCCTAGCACATGATTACTTTTCAAAAATTTTCTTGTGCTTGGAAAGAATGTATATTTGCCAATTGTTGAGCAATGTTTTTATATGGGTTCATTTTATCAAATGTGTTGGTGGTATTGTTTGGTGCTATATACTTTGCAAATTTTGTCTTTTGATCTTTTAATTACTGTAATAGAAATATGTATTAATTCTATCACAATGGTGGTGAATTTAGCAACTTCTTCCCGTGCGACAACTCACTGTGCTGGTTTAAACAGCCGCACTGAGATTCGTGGTGCTTTTTTTGCCCTGGAGTCTACTGTCCTAGCTCCCTGCTCAGTCCCCTTTTTAAACAGACGAATGGGCGACTTCCCGTGGCTCCAATTGCCAGCCAAAAGGGCACCCGGACCGGTGTATTCTGTAGGGAGAACCGCTGCTCCGCGGCGCCGACAAAGCAGCCGCGCGGGGCAAAGTAGCGGTGCAGGCCGCCACAGCCGCACTGGCCGAATCAGCCGCGCTGGCGACCCTCCTCCGCCTGGAAATTTCCTAGTCTGTGGGCAATAAAAATGCGGCGTCCACTCACTCTCTGCGCTTTCACTGGGAGCTGCAATCCTGAGGTGTTCCTAAACGACCATCTTGGATCCTCCCTGAATTTAGCAACTTCTTATAGTTTAATCAGAAATTCCTTTTGATGAAGTGAATCTCTGTTTCTAAGTCAATATACACCTAGAATGGTTAAAGCTTCCCCTGAATTACATCATTCATCATTATGTAGAGACTACCTCCACTAATATTTTTTGTCTTAAGATTTATTGTGTCTAATATTAATTGCTTTCTCTTCACCAGCTTTCTCTTAAGCAGTATTTTTCTAGTATTATTTTGCTAATTCTTTACTTTTAAACATTTCTGGTGTAATGTCTCCAAATTTTAGGCATCCCTTTAGGGAAAACATTACTGAACTAGAATTCTATTTTTTAATTCAGTATGATAGTCATTATCATTTAACTAGAAACTCTAACCTATTTACCCCTATTGTGAATTGTGATGTATTTAGTCCATGTTATCATTTCTTCCATCTTATCATTTGGGTTGATTTGTTTTTTTTCTGATCTCATTCTTTCCTGAGTCAATTTAAAAATGTGTTCCATTTTATTTTTTCTATTAGTATAAAAATTATAAATTTTATTCTCATTCTTTAATGATTTTATATAAATATTAAAATTAATAATTAAGTCCAAGTCTTTGCATTCTCTTGGAATACTAAGACTTTATAATGCTTTCATTATAATGATACCACAACTCCATAGACAAATAATATGTGATCCCTGCTTATTATTTTATATATTTAGCTCTACATGTTAAACATTTATTATTTTATACAGTTTATACTTATTTTGATATATTGATGTTTTTAACATTTATTCTTACATATTGGGGCTTTCTTTATGGGACCATATTCTTTCTTCCTAATGTACTTCTTCTAGAGGTTTCTTTAGTAAGATGTTGACAGTACATGGACACAAAGATGAGAACAAGACACCAGGGCCTCCACCAGGTGCAGGAAATGAGGAAGGTAAGGATCTAAAACTAACGATCAGATACTATGCTTATTACCTGGATAACAAAAGAATCTGTACACAAAACCCCTATGACATGTAATGTACCATTATAACAAACCTGCACATATACCCCTTAACTTAAAATAAATGTTTAAATAAATAAAGATGTTGGTGGTCAACTCTTTTTTTTTCAATCTTAAAATGACAAATTCAACCTTGTTCAAAAGAGGTAATTTTACTGGGCATATAATTATTTTCCTTTCCTTTTTCTTTTTTTGTAGAGACAGGGTCTTGCTATGTTGCCCAGCCTGATCTTGAACTCCTGGCCTCAACCGATCCTCCTCACTTGGCCTTCCAAAGTGCTGGGATTACAGATGTGAGCCATGGTACCCAGTCTACAGTTTTTGTTTTAGAAATGTATAGAAACATTCCACTCTCCTCTGGCCTCACTGTGCTCTGG